GAACATTTCGTTGACATGATGCACAGTGAAAGGTTTTCCACACATTTACATTTCCGTTTAAAAGAGCTTTAATTCCGTTATATACTCAGATCAAGGCCAATTTAGCATACATTTCGCTCTCAAAAATCACTGTGCAATAATGGATTTCAAAGAAATGTTTGACGTTTTCAATAATCTTTTTTTTTGATGAAATGTAGTTATTTATTCTAAAAATCAATCGATGTCATACACAAAATGCATTTAAGTGGTATAAAGTACAGAAGCAGAGTAAAAATATGTATTTTAGAATATCACCATGTGTTACCCCATTGTAGCGCCTCTTGCCCATGTTTCTATCAATATAAAACATGATATCATACACCAAATATGCATTTATGTCAAATTATGTGGTTTAAAATACAGAAAAAATAGATAACATTCTCCTTAGAATACCACCTTGTGTAACCCCACTTTACTGCCTTTTGCCCCTGTTTATATCAATATAAAAGGTAGCATGTAACCTTCCTTGTAACATGTGTAAAAGTTTCAAGAAAATCAGTTAAGTGGTTTTCCTGGAATCACAATGACAAGATTTATCAAAAAAACTTCCAAGATGGCCGCCAGAATGCAAGATGGCCACCGAAAGGTTAATTAGGTCTAGAACTTCTTACCATGTAATATGTGTGAAAATTTGAAGTAAATCCGTTTGGTTTTCCTGAAATCGTGATGATAAGATTTATCTTTAAACTTCCAAGATGGCTGCCAGAATGCAAGATGGCCACCGAAAAAATAATGAGGTCTATGACTTTTTACCATGTTACATGTGTGAACATTTGAAGTACATCTGTTATGTGGTTTTTGTGGAATCTTGATTACAATATTTATCTGAAAAAAATTCCAAGATGGCCACCAAAATGCAAGATGGCCGCCACAAAGTTAATCAGCTCTAGAACTTCTTACCATGTAACATGTGTGAAAATTTGAAGTAAATCCGTGTAATGGTTTACCTGGAATCGTGATGACAAGAAAGTGAGACTTCAGAATGCCACCTTGTCTAACCCCATTTTGGTGCCTTTTGCCCCTGTTTACATCAATAGAAGAGGTCTTTTCTTTAAGAGGGAAGTCTGTTCTTTCAAACGGTACAATCATTTTATGTGGGAAAGTACCGGACAACAAAACCCCTTTTCTAGAGCCCTTTTGGAAATCAGATCGGGGACTATTAGTTACACGTGCGTTTGATTTGATTACTCACTCCCTGAAAGCTTGATTAATTCTGGTATCATGGAGGTTACTAGAAAGTACTAGAAAGAGTATATTACAGCTTAATTTATTTTATTTTAAAAATACCAACCAGGAAAAAACGGATTTTTTATTCAAATTCAGCCCGGATACCCCGGATTCTTTTTTTAAAAATCCGCCCGGATTTTCGAAAATTTTAGGTTGAGAAATATGCCTTCACAGATTAGTCAATAATATATTGTCATTTTGACCGTTCTTTATCTATTTTACTATCATACTTATTCATACATGTAACAAGATGAGATTTATGCAGGTGGGGTCACTGATTTTTTATCTATTTAACTATCATACCTATTCATACTGACACGTAACGAGATGAGATTGGTGCAGATGGGGTCACTGATTTTTATGATTGGCTTTCAAGGGAAGAGTATTTAACTTTCCATCATTCATTCATGAGCATGGCCTTGGCATTTTAAAAAGCTTCCCGTTCACAATCCAAGAAAAATATTTTGTACTGTTCACGTACAAGTGACATACTCGTTTCTCAGTTTGATTTTCAATCCAATCACAGGTATAAACACATCATACCTTGGAAATCCAAGATGTATAAGTGAAAGAAACTCAAAAATAAAAGCTTATAATATCTTAATATCTATGGTTCTCTAATGAAATGAAGCCCGTCTTTTACGCTTTGCAAATGTAATCCTACAAAATTAGGAAATTTTACATCCAAACGAAAACAGAACATGTCTTTCAAAGGAAGTATCCGCTAAAATGCCTGGTGTCAACAATTTAAAAAAAATCATATTCCCATTCGATGTAATTGCAAAAATGGAATGATGTGTCGAATTACATATCAGGCATTTGGTCGGTTGTGGTGATCCGCCATAGGCATACTCACTCGAGTCAGAAGCCAATATTACTTGAGTAGGCCTATAGAGGTCGAGGCCTTTGAAGAAAATTAAACACACTCCTTTTCAAGTTTAATTAATTTGGATCTCAAATCAGTTTCAATTTGATCAGATATCTCTTTTTCAGAAAAAATTAAATTGTAGGGGAAAATCGGCATGATTTAGATGATTTACACAAATACAAGTTTTCACATACAAAAATAATCCAATCGGGAAAGTCAACGCGAACGTATACATAGGAGTAACCATAACAAAAACGGCATTAAAACCTAGATGTAAATGATCTCGCACTGAAAGCACAAAAGGCTTGGTTTGCATTGAAAAACATATTATGATATAAAAACATCAAACTGATTTTCTCATTTATTTGACATGTGCATAAAGCCTTTTTATAACTTATGGTAGTGAAGTATGGTATCCCTCACTAAGCACAAATGCCTACTAAGTTATACATATGGGAAACAAAACAGAAAACATACATACATGTACTGTAGGCCTATTCAATGTTGCAAGAGGGTGCTCAATGTTAACTTCAAATGCTCTGACCTAGGTGCTCATCTTTTGAATGGTAACAATACAATTTGAAATAAATATATATACTTTTCTCTATATTGTTTTAGAAATCACATCAGACACTTCTTTTGTTCTTGGTATCATATGCTCAGAATGAAATGAAACATCTATCCGAACCTTATTGGAACAAAATGACATAAACACAACATGTTTAGGTCTCTCAATGTAATAATTGTACAAAGGAAAGTTTGGTTGATTTAAAAAAAGTATCTTGTTAATGAAATAAAAGGTTTATCTTACTTTCTATCTATTTTGTTTTTTTGTTTAACTTTTTGTTAAATCAACCAAAATTTCCTTTAACTATAATATTGAGAGGTTGAATTCAGTTCACCATATCGATACCAATCCTTTATTACAAGGACAACAGTAGATGTAAGACAGTGTTCGTTGTCATATACTCGTACAATATTTTAATTTGTAAAAAGATACTATAGGCCTACTGTACTTTGATTGTTGTATCAAAGGAATTTCAATCCACGTGCCTATTAAAGGACAACTGACATAATAATTTCCATCTTTTTGTGGATGGCGGTTGGCAGTCGGTGTCTTTAAAAAATGGCAGGTGGTGACATTTTGCATGTCAATGCCTTATATAATTATTAATTATTTCAGTGACCTATACTTCAATCCATTATAGAGTCGCAGTGACCTTTTCTCGACTCACAAGTTTTCTTTTCAATATTTAAGCTGATTTAAACAACTGATGTACAAGGTGTGAATAAACCATAAAGGCAATATTCTATAGATATGTCTACGTGTACAGTAAAACACCTTGCTGATGAACACCTTTCCCTAATTTAACACCACTTTTGGGATCATAAGCGACTTCAGAATAAAACAAGGCATATACGAGTACATGCAAAATGTCATTACCTGCCGTTTGTCACAGACACTGACTGCCAAACACCAACCACCGAAAATAATCCTCAAAAAGTTGGAAGAGTATAGCAATATGTGGTGACATAAAAACTACAGTGAACACCCCTCCCTCAGTGAACACTTTGTTACTTCAAACATGTTTACCATGTACATGTTTTACTTTAAAAGAAGCAACCAGTTCATCTCAACAAGGCATAAGGAAAACATAAATATTTAGATATAGATTGTATATTTCAATACATTTTTATTGGATTTCTTAAATATCTAGAGAAAAATACAACTTCAAATTTCAATATAATTAAAATAACAACTTCTACTCCACAGAGTATCGCATCAAAGGATGAATTGATTTTATATCAATTGATATAGATACATATTCTTATCCAATTCAATCTTATTCAAACGTTTGCCTTTCATTTGCGCATGTCTTTGTCAGCTAACAATTATCTATATTAACAAAATCTGTTGACAAGAATTTGCATTTATTAACTAAACAGAACTATTCACAAACATATAGCTTTAACGGCCTATGATCATGCATGGAATGTTTTTATAAATGTAATTGTACAAATATATATTGTCCACAAACACACATGCCAAGTTTTGGATAAAGAGCACACTATTTTCTCAATAAAAATAGAAATTAATGTGTGCCACTTGTATCATCTTAATCTTTTATTTAGAGCTTACCAAATTAGGTTTTGTATCAATACTATAAGTTATTGAATGATTTGTCTCGATATTCTGTATTGGCACTTGACTTCGTCTTGTTCAAATACGGAATTTCTCGAGCAGAATATATCCTATATTGCACTTCAAATCATTCAATAACGTTTTTATCGTGTGATCCTCTGTATTGCTACTGAGATTGCCCCTCCGTGCCAATATTTTCTGTATTGCGACGGAGATGATCAACGGGGACAATCTCAGTAGCAATACAGATTGGTACAGCACAAGAACTGACCAATCATAGAGCTTCATTTTTCAGATCATACGATGATATAAGTTATTGAATGATTTGATTAGTGCAATACAGGATATATTCTGCTCGAGAAATTCCGTATTGGAACGAAACAAAGTCGAGTACCAATACAAAATATCGAGAGCATAATATATCCTGTATTGCACTCCAAATTCTGTAACGTTTTTATCGTGTGATCCTCTGTATTGCTACTGAGAATGTCCCCTCCGTACCAATATTTTCTGTATTGCAAAAGAGATGATCAACGGGGACAATCTCAGTAGCAATACAGATTGGTACAGCACAAGAACTGACCAATCAGAAGGCTTCATTTTACAGATCATACGATAAATATTCATATTGATTTGTATTTAAAGACTCTTCTAAATGACACTCTCATTTATGACATTATGCAATTTCTGAATAAAATGGCAGTTAGTTGTTTGAATCATTTAATAAATAATTGATCTGAATGTGTATTAACAATAATTATTGTTTTTGTCAATTCGAATAGTAATGGACAGTTCTGTATCTTAAATGCTCGATCACATACATAAAATATTTCAAATACTTTTTGGGATCGCAAAGGACATACTGACACAAGTTTTACTCAATTCTCTACTGCCACTTTAAATCATCTGATTTTCTAACAGATGGAACTATTATCTCTCCGTATTTCCCAATACTTTGTTAATGTTCAGAGTTCACCTAGCATAGTAGCTGTACTTGTATTGGAGGTTCTCTATTTCTATGTGAGCAGCTTTATCCTGGAAAAGATAGCAATATCGATATTGTAAATATGTTTTATGATTAACTACTTTAATTTATGAGTCACATAATTGAACCAAAGCTACAATTCCAAATAACCTCTTGAGAAATCAATGTCCATATTAAAATTAATTTATATCCATGTTAAAATCAATTAATATCCATGTAAAATCAATTAATATCCATGTTAAAATTGATTATTATCCATGTTAAAATCAATTATTATCCATGTTAAAATCAATTAAATATCCCTGTTTAACAACTCTGCTGAAAAATTGTGTCTATATTTTCAAAAATGTAAAGTACGATGCCATGCCCATGAAGATAATGAACCAGTTGGGAATGCCAAATCCACAACACAATTTATGTATGTCAATGAATGCCACAAAATACAAAATTGGCTTCACTGTGCATTCCTGTCAAAGAAGGCTTCAGTAAAGACCTTCGGTACTTTAGTCTGAAAAAATCTTAACTTACATCAACAGTCTTGGCTTGGATTACGGCTGCCTTATTCAGCCATTCCATTGCTTCACTGTATTGGCTTTGTTGAATATAGCACTGAAATAATAAGAAAGCACAAAGGAAAACAATTAAAAAATAAGCCACAGGGTGAACAGAATCGCACCCTTGAACAGAATACACTTTTCGGGATGAAACATTCAAAATGGCCACCTTAACATTTACCCAGACTGCCTAAAAACTAATCAGTTCTAAACTTTCCATAGAAACATCTCTAAAATTTTAGGATGAATCCATGAAACCTGTAAACAACCCTCAAGAGACACGTTTTAAGGTATTACTTCACAGTGTATCAGCTTTTTTTCTACAATTCAGATTTTCCTGAAAAATCCTGGTAAAAGATATACTGATGTATTACAAAATATGTGAAAATTGGAAAGATTGACAGTTAAGTTTTTCTACAGTTTTACAGTTTGTTTGCATAGTTGTTTATCTATTCATCAATTATATCAATGTTCATTGTACAGGCAACTGACACCCATGCGGGTGTATATAGTTACATATATGATTATATTACATAATTGTATTAATCAAGATGACAAGATATAAAACTGTTTTTAAAGATAGAAAGTTAGGAGAAAAGTAAAAGAAGAGAAAGAAATATACATATATATAAGCACATATAGCTAAATGTTATACAGATCAATTTAATACTTGTCCAGATAATACTTTTTCAAATCGACTTAAATTTATTTCTAGAATTCAGATGTTTAAAAGTTTCAGGTAATTCATTCCATGTTGTTTGTCCTATGTATTTAATGCTCCTTTGTCCAAATGTAGATTTAAATTGATTAGCTCTAAGATTGAATCTATAACGTGTCTCTTGACCATGAGTTTGGGCATTTGATATGAAGTAGTCATAGAATAAAGTTTGAGGAAATTCTTTAGGTTGTTTGAGACAATTAAATACAAAAATACCAACATTTAGCTTATGAATATCTTCTAATTTAAGTATCTTTATTTTCTTAAATAGTAGAGAGGAATCGTCTGTTCTAACACTGTAATTAGTCTTAAGAATCTTTTTTGTACTTTCAGAATTTGAAACAATAGAGCTTTAGTTGCTGCTCCCCAGATAAGAATTTATATGGCTATATATAAGAGAGTAATAAATAGACATCATTGCAGTGTGATTTATCTTATTTTTGACCTTGTAAAGAATTGCTACTACTTGTGAAATTTTGGTAGATTCATGAGCAATATGCTCATTCCATTTAAGTTTATCATCGATAATAACTCCAAGGAAAGTAGTCTTTGAAATTCTCTCAATGGGTTATTTCTAATTTTAATATTTAGCATTTTTATTTCAGATTCTTTTAATTTGTGTGGATGAAAGATCATGAATTTTGATTTTCTATATTAAGCGATAATTTATTTGCACATAGCCATTCGTCAAGATTTTCTAATTCAGAGTTGACTTGATTAGTGAGAGTACTTAGGTTTTTATGTGAGCAGAGAAGGTTTCACGCCCGGTGATTGTGAATATGGGACGGAGGGGGGGGGAAAAAGTTTACCATTGCATTGCTAAATGGATAGGCGCACGGTATGGTAGAATATGTTAGGTTTTCTGGGATTATTTCTGAAACGATACGCATCTAAGGTATGAGATCTATTAAAAAAGGCGCAAGGCCATCAACAGGCACAAATCAACGTTTTTGCTATAAATCAAGCAACAATGGTCTGGACGACCTGTAATAAATACTTGTAAGTGATGTTATCATAACTAAATTAATGTCATTGCTGAATTTATAAAATAAGTTTCCATATGTGAAATAAAAAATAATCGAAAATAATGAATTTGGGACAGAGGGGGGAGGGGATGGAGGGGGGGGAGCAATATGTATATAAGACATGATTAGAGATGTTTCGCGACTTTAAGTCCTTTTACTCCAAATGTCCCCATTTTTCAGTCTCCAGGGGTATATCATCCAGTTTCTTACTAAGTTAATGAGTTCATTTTTCAAATACAAGAATTCGTGTGAAGTTGTTTCACTTTATAGAATTATTACTCCCCCCCTCCGTCCCCTCCCCCCTCCGTCCCATTTTAATTATTTTCGATTATTTTTTATTTTACGTATGGAAACTTATTTTATAAATTCAGCAATGACATTAATTTAGATATAACATCACTTACAAGTATTTATTACAGGTCGTGTAGTCCATTGTTGCTTGATTTATAGCAAAAACTTTGACTTTTGCACGTTGGTTGCGTTGCGCCTTTTTTAATAGATCTTATATCTTAAAAGAGTATTGGTTGAAAAATAATCCTAGAATACCTAACATATTTTATCATACCGTACGCTTATTCAATTTGCAATTCAATCGTAAACTCTGTCTGGAAAAAATAATTTTACCAGATTTTCTAGCGGAAATTGCCTGCTCCCCCCCTCCGTCCCATTTTCACGATCACCGGGCGTGGGTTTGTATCATCAGCAAAGATAACAAATTTCAATATAGAAGATGTCATTACAATGTCATTGATGTAAATAAGAAACAGAATGATGTAAATAAGAAAAAAATGTTTTAATTTAACATTGCTCTCAATGGGAAATTCTTTTTTATTTTTTAAAACAAGCCTTCACAGACACGATTTTAGTCGAAAAACTAATCAGTTCTAAACTTTCATAGGTAGAAACATTCCTAAGAATTTCAAATGAATCCCTCAAACGGTTTGGCTGGAAACCTGTAGACAGGCCTTGACAGACAAGATTTTAGGACGGAAAATCCAAAATGGCCACCTTAACATTTACCAAGAATGCCGAAAAACTAATCAGTCCTAAACTTTCATAGGTAGAAACATCCCTGAGAATTTCAAATGAATCCCTCAAACGGTTTGGCTGGAAACCTGTAGACAAGATTATTCGGGACGCCCACCTGCCCGCCCGCCCGCCCGGCAAACTGATTACAATATAGCACCTTAGGGTGCGATAACAAGACACAGGGTGAACAATATCGCACCCTTGAACAAAATAAGATTTGGCAATAAATATAATGATTGAGTAGTTTGTTGTTATATAATTATTGTGAATTGTGTAAAGTTGTAAATTCTCATATAACAGTTTGCTTGGAAATGTGTAGACAAAATTTTGTAGATAGGATTTTGTGACAGAAAATCCAAAATGGTCATCCTAAAAAGTAATCCATTTAACGGTTTGGCTGAAAATGCATTTTTACATGCATTTAATGTAAATACATGCATTTCAATGATCTCTACAGGTTTTTTTCTGAAGTGGATGCAAATTTTTAATTTTCACAATTCAGACAAAAATTGGTCAAAATATGCCTATTTTAGATGACTTTTCTTATTTTCAAGTGGGTGCAAATAGATTCTCAGGTAGGTGCAAGCCTATTTTCAAAATCTCAGGTGGGTGCTGTGCCCACTTGCCTTAATGCTGTGGAGATCACAGCTTCATCTTGTGTGGCTTATTATAATTCAAAACATTTTCATTTCATTTTCCCAGTTATTCAAATCATAAAAATGCAAAACCATTATGCCTGATACATGTATTATTAAATATAAATACCTTTGCTATGAATAACATATTTTCTTTCCATTGTGTTGGGGCAAGTTTGTGTGCTTGTAGAAAATGCTTAAGGGCCTCTTCAGAAGTGGAGGTAGGAGGGGTGGCGAATAATGTAGCTGCTAGTTTCCTCTCCAGCCAGCTCAGCTCAAAAACCTGGAAATCAAATAATTTTTATTTTTATCCATCAATTTGAAATATTGGGATGGATCGGACCTTCAAAACAAACATTAGAAAAATACCAAACCCTATAAACAATAACAATTCTATGTAAAATCAGATGAACTGATCCATCAATTCCATTCCCTTATCATGTTAAAGCTTTTTTACTAGAGCTTCTGAATTGACCAATATTGTTCACAAAATCCAACGATTATAGTGTTATCTATACAATAAGTTATATTTCTGGACATCTGCATGATATTTTTCAGAAAGTCATTTATCAGCCCCATATGCAGCTGATCAGATCATTTTTTGTAACATCACTTTATCACCATGTAGATATCGAACATCAACATTCATTTGCTTCACTTACTTGTGTTGATATTTGAAATCAACTCATTGATGATATCACTCAAAATTAGCTGATATTCTGTATATATAATAAGATATGCTATCCTGCAATTATAATGAATGGATTTTAATAATACAGGCCCACTGAATTACTCAATAAACCATGAATAAAACATAATCAACTCTATGGTTTTCATTAGATTTATAACTGTTACCATTTCTATTGTGTTTGGAAATAAATAAAAAAAAAAAAATTAAAAATGTTTACCCCATAGCACCAGCGTCCCAGCAGATAATGTAGAGAGGGGTCAAGAGGGTCGATCTCAATACCTCTCTCAATGTGCTCTTTGAACTTGAAACCATTAAGTATTTTATCCTGCATAGATTCATAGTCTCCTACCTTCCCTAATGTAATAGCACACCTGAAAGTTAAAATAGAAAACTTTGATTATTTAAAAGAAATGCATTTGTAAATAGAGACCATGATATTTGGCTTATGAAACAACCCATGAAGTTTAAATGTACAGTAAACCTGTTTACAGCGAACACCTATAGAGCCACAAAATATGTTCACTGTAAGTAGGTGTTCACTACAGAGAGGTGATTTTATACAGAAATCGGTGAAGTATGTGCTGAGAAGAGGTTTTCACTAGACACACTTGTTGACTAAAGTGAGGTGTTCACTAAGGCTGGTTTTACTGTATATACCCTGAATATCAGAGTCTAGCAAATTATCCTCTGAAAAGGAGAAATAAATATAAAGTTTTGATGCAAAAAAGATTTAAATGATCCTTAAAGTAGCTGCTGTCATTGCCTTAAATAAGAGTCTAAATACAAGAACACAAATGTGTACAATATGTCCCCACCTATGGGTGATCCTGTCAAATGGTTATCCTAAAAATGAGTAGACAAGACTTTACCGACACAATTTGAGGACGGAGAATCCAAAATGGCCACCTTAAAATTTACCAAGAATGCCAAAAAATTAGTCAGTTCTAGATTTTCATACTAAGAACCACCCCTGAAAATTTGAAATTGATCTGTCACACAGTTAACCAGAAAACATGTAAACAAGATTTTACTGACAAGATTTGAGGACAGAAAATCCAAAATGGCTGCCATGACATTTATCCAGAATGCCAAAAACTAATCTGTTCTAGATTTTCATACTAAGAATGATCCCTCAAAATTTGAAATTAATCTACCAAACAGTTCACCTGGAAATGTGTAGACAAGACTTTACAGACGAGATTTTAGGACAGAAAATCCAAAATGGCTGCCTTGACATTTACCCAGAATGCCCAAAAACTAATCAGTTCTAGATTTTCATACTAAGAATCATCCCTGAAAATTTGAAATTGATCTACCAAATGGTTCACCTGAAAACGCGTAGACAAGACTTTACAGACAAGATTTTAGGACGGAGAAATCCAAAATGGCCGACAATAAAAAAGTGATTATGAGTTTTTGCTGAAATCTTTTTACAAAATTATCACATATAACTACTGTTAACAATAACTTAAGCTTTTACAACAAAGTACACCTGAAATTATTTATAAAGCTACTAAAAAGTTAAAGTATGAAAACTGAAAAACACCATTCAATATGATACAAAGTATTATCGTGCGCTAACTTTTCTTAAAACATTCAAAATGGCTGACATGACTGAGCTAACAGGTCCAAAACCTAATCAGATCTAGAATGAAGTGAGCTGAACAAGATGTTAAAGTTTTAAAAGCAACTGTGAAGCCGTTTTTCTTAAAGTTTGCAGACAAGGATTTTAGCATTTGACTTCAAAATGGCCGACAGGAAGTAGGTATCGAGTTAATTTTTTTTCATCCACATCTGTATGCACTCATAAGTTAACCCTGAAAATTTGAAGGTGATATCTGTAGCGGTTTTGGAGAAAACTGCTGGACGTACGGACGGACAGACGGACAGACAGATGGACAGACGGACAGACAGACGGACGCGCCTAGGCCGACAATATGGCCCCACACTATGTGATGGGGACATAATAAAATGAATGCCAGGTACAAATGAAAGCATAAAATTCAGCAAATGCTATTTGAAGAATGTTAGGTTACCATTTTTGTATATTTGCGTCATCTTCCTTAATGTCTAATGCATTGAAGGCAATATTTTTTCCTTCGTACACCAGTTCTTTTTGGCGCTCTTTGTTACCATTGGCTCCCTCTATTTGTGACATCTGGTATGTAGATTTAGCTAGTCGCCATAGAAACTCAGTATCCTGTTGGTGCTGGAATGAAAAAACAAAATGTTCTCAAAACAGTTCAACTTAAGAGGTGTCCCACTTACAAAGGTTCATTTGAACATTAAGTCAGGGGATCATTGAAATAAAATTTGGAATGGCAACTCCACTGGCGGATCTGGGGCCCCCCTTGGGTGGGCCCAGAAAAAAAAATTGGGCCCAAAAAATTTTTGAGCCAAAAAAAAGTGGGCCTTTTTTTTATTCTAAACCAAATTTTGAAGGAAATGGGCCTCAAATTTTCAAAAGTTTTGGTTTTAGGGGCCCAAAATTGTTTTCACCGCAAGCGCTGAAGTTTTTTTCTCAGACCAGAAGTTTGCCCCCCCCAGTTGGTTCCCAGATCCGCCCCTGAACTCTATTGTATTTCATTGCATGGCATCCACAGCCTGTATTAGTTTGAATACTGTACTTCATCTTAATTTGGCGCCACTTATTTTGGCGGTTTTGCTGTTTTGAACATTTGGCAGCTACTTAATTTGGCAGACTTGCAATATTACAACACACTAATGGTTCTTATTTACATGGTACTAAAATTACTGGGGAATTTGGCGGCTACTTAATTTGGTGGCCTTTAACAATTTGGCAGATCTGCCAAATCAAAATGGCCACCAACCAGTTGCTTAAAATGAACAATTACTCATGAATCTAGGCATCACATCTTGTGAAGAACTCTATTACATGTGATGGTTTTTCATCTTGGTAATTTTCCAATTCTCAACACAGCAGTGTGGTACAATATGTGCTCAATTACTTTGATTCCAGGAGATCATTGCCCCCAACTGCTTTCTTAATCAACATCACAGTCGAGACTTCTTGAGAAGGAGTTAATATTAGCATGAATGCATGTCAATTAATTATATTATTATATCATTATTTTAGCTGAATGCTGCATCGTGTATTCTGATTTGTACCTCTATTTAACTAATAATATAGAGAGCATTGGCTAAACTCTGATACAAATGTACAAATATGAGGGTTGTCCCAAAAGTAATTATGAAGCGATTATGTGGAAACAACTGGTGAAAATCGCCTGTTGCCCGCTGCTAATGAGACCCCTGTTAGTGGTTCGACATATAAAAGTATTTGGCAGTTCACATGCAAACTAAAACTAAAAACAACATTTACCTGGTCTCTCATATCACAGAGTGTCTGGTAAGCCTTGGCTTTGTCAGTGTCATTGGATTCCAGTTGTTTGTCAATCTGCTTGTAGATGTTGCTGTCTGCTTTAATTTTAGCTTGTTTTCCAAGTAACATTTCTTCACTGAAAAATATCAAGTAGTCAGTTGAAGTTACTCTTATCAACAGTTTGATTTTGGTTCATCAATTTGTAATTTTTTTTTATCATCTTTCATATTTATTGTAAGCACAAGTCATTTAGATACAATTACAAGGGGCAAAGCGCTGTAAGCATTAGATGTCCCCTTATATAATTAAACAATAAAGTACAATATTCATTTTAACCTGGATGTCACCTGTAAATGGTAGAATGCCTTGCAATGAAACAAAAGATAGGAGGGCTGCTGATATCCTGGGGGAGGGGTAGTATGTTGAAAAATGGAAACAGGTCATAGGCAGGAAAATATTTAGATTCTGGTTGTGTTTTCAATGAGATAATTCGCAACCAGTGAAAAAAGATTATCCATTTCTAATTGGGTTAATGATGGATCCCCAAAAAGAAAAAAGTGAATTTTGTCTTGCTGAGTTCTGAAATGAGTTAATAAGTCCCCATATATCCCTAAAGTATTATTAATTTATTTCTTTGTTGTTCTTTCAGAGGGCATTTGAAAAAGAAGTGGGGAAAAGTTTCAGGGGAACCACATAAACAATTTGATGACTCAACTGAGCTCCAATTGTGGGCTTTGAGCTGGGCTTTTAAAATTAAATCTACCCTGGCTCTATTCAGATAAAGTTCTTGTTGACGAGTTAATTTTAAACAAATTGTTGAAACAACACCAGGGAACAAATTTAATTTAAGTGTTCTTTTAAAAGATGCAATAGTTGGCAAGAGCTTTTGTTCCAAGGGAACAGATCCTGGATCATTCCATAGGTTCATCATTTTGTATATTGGAGACTTATGTGGATAGTGAATAGGGATAGTGAAATCTCGAGATTTCCTTAACAATCTTGCTTGAGGGTTTATGAATGGCCTAAATATATCTGAGATATAACAGTATAAATAGGTGTTAAATCGTTCACGGCTTTGTACATAATTGTTTTAAAGTGGAGGATCCTCCTCTCAGTTAAGGTGGACCAGTTCAAAATGTTAAGTACTTTGGAAGTGCTGGAGCCTGGGAGAGCACCAGAGACTATTAGACCAGCTTGGTACTGGAGACTGTCAAGTCTGTTAAGGTCACAAATAGGAGCACAGTCGTAAAGGATATCACAATAATCAAATAAGGACTGAATATAAGCTGTATAGAGAATATTTAATTGTTTTGATTTTAGTCTACCCTTAAGTGCTTTTAAGGGGTTAAGAGCTGTTTGGATTTTTGCACAGATAGAATTTATATGTGCTGACCCACTTAATTTTTTATCAAAAATGAAGCCTAGGTGTTTATGAATGTCAGTTTTTTCAATTTGTTTATCATTTAAGATAACTGGTGGATAGATTGGATTATTTTTCTTAGAAAAGGTCATTTCTCTGCTCTTTTCTGGTTTAAAATCTAGTTTCCACTGTTTAGACCAGGCTTCGATTTTTTTTAGATCATTTTGAATTTTTATATGAGACTGCGGATTGTTTGGGGAAGTAGGTACAAAGAGGGAGGTGTCGTCTGCGTAAATAAAGCACTCTGAGGTCAGGTTGTCGGGTAAGTCGTTTATATAGAGGAGAAACATCAAAGGTCCGAGAATACTTCCCTGAGGCACAGAACAGTTTATGTAGTTGCTAGGAGAGGTGTCAGAACATTTGCCATTCACAGTTACTTTGACACTCCTATCAGTCAAATAAGATTTTAGAAAAACTAATAAGTTTCCTGAAAATCCATACGCTTTCAACTTTTTTAGAAGAAGGTAATGGGGGACACGGTCAAACGCGGCCGAAATATCCAAAAAAATTGCACGTGTATCATTGCCGTCGCTAAAATTGCGCCAAATTAGGTTTTGGATGGCTAACAGTTGTAACTCATTGCTGTGCCCTTTCAAAAAACCGGACTGGTATTTATACAATAAGTTATTTTCAATTAAATGTTCGTACATCTTAGAGTAGACAATTCGCTCTAATATTTTGGAAGTAATACTGAGAAGAGATATAGGTCTATAATTTCTTATGTCATTCTTATTATTCTTTTTAAATATTGGGCAGATATCCCCTAATTTCCAGTTCTGGGGAAAATTACCTGTGGTCAAAATTTTATGAAAAAGTAAATTAAGTGGCACAGAAATAGTATTCCTGCATAGCTGGAGCATTTTTATTGTAACTCCATCTGGACCATTTGCTTTTGAGGGGTCAAGATCCTTAATTATAGAGATAATTTCCTGTTGGTCAAAGTCAATGTTCTCTAATTTGTTATTGCATCTGTCAGGAAAATGAATATCATTATTCAATGCATCTGGTTCTAAGTGATACATGTTAGAGAAATATTTTTGAAATTCAGTAGCTTTCTCCTGACTGGTCAAACAGGTAGTTCCAGTTAAAGGGTTTTCTATGGTAGGAATAGGCGAGCTAAATTTTTTACCTAAAAACTTTTTTATAAGTTGCCAAAATTTGTCACTTGCATGTGTTTCTCCATTTAGACTTTCTATTTGATCTGATGTAAATTTTGCTTTGGTTTCTAAAATAAGGTTCTTGACAGCTTCAGTCTGATTCTTATATGCTGTATAATGTTCAGGAAGATTGCTTTTCTTGAATTTAACATAGAGTTTTTTCTTTTTCTGAATCGCATGAGATATACTCTCATTGAACCAAGGTCGATCATTCGCTTTAATTCTTTTCATTTTGTGAGGGATATGCTTTTTAAAGATGGTAAGAATTGTATCAGTAAATTGATCATTTAAAGTGTTCATATCATGGTTTTGAGTAAAAAAATTAGCCCAGTTTATTTTTTCAATTTCAAGGTTCAAAGCATCTTTATTTGCAGTATCATATTTCCAAATAAGTTTAAATTGATCTTCCTCTCTATTTAATAGTACATCGAGTTGAGTAAAAATTGAACAATGGTCTGATGAGCAATTTGTAATGATGTTAGTTATGTGATTTGTTGGAAATTTTTTTATATATACATCTGTACATTTATTCAAGTTTTAGATTTACATTATAATATAAGGTTACATGATAAAACAGTTAATACAAATATAATTAGGGTCGCTCGTTTTTTATAAGAAAGTATATAAGGGGGGTTTACAGGGGAGGGGAGAGGCTATAATACTAGATCTAAGTATAGTGGGTCAAAACATCAAATTGGTGGAACATGACGATTATGCAACTCTAACTATTAACAAGTGTGGGTGGAAATAACGAATTTAAGAAGAAAAAAGTCATGGTACTGTGGTTTGGCCCCTCATATTTTTGCTTCTCTGACATGATACATGTATTTTAAAAAAATCCTTTGTATAACTCCCTGAGATTACCAGAGCCCACAGGTTTAGAGCACATAAAACTTATTTATCTGAAATATATAAAAGTTTTGCACTTAAAATATGAATGAATTTCTGCATAATATTGCACAATGGTTCTTTGTTAATTTAATAAAGAAGACATTCCATTAAGACCAGAGTCTTAATTTAAAATATATGCATTCTAGTGACTAGAATAAGTGGATGTAATCCACATGGATAGGGTAAGGACTAAGGGGCGGGAAAAGGTGTAAAAATAAAATAAAATAGCACCACCACTTTTGTAAGTTGTATTTGTATCTAAATGATAATAACGTAAGCTTCATGTATTTGATAAATGATTACACAGTGATCTCCCCAGCATTAAAGCAAGTGGGCACTGTGCCCACTTGAGATTTTGAAAATAGGCTTGCATCCACCTGAGAATCCATTTGCACCCACTAGAAAATGAGAAAAATCATGAAAAATAGGCATACATGTATTTTGAAAAATTTGGTCTAAATTATAAAATCATGAAATGTGCACCCACTTCAGAAAAAATCCTGGGGAGAACACTTTGGTAGATAGCAAATTATGTATTCCATATTTTTTCAATGTAATCAAATCATTAGTTGTGTTGGATTTAAATCTCCCACAATAAATTGCAATCTTACATTGTCAAAATCTTGATAATTCCCCAGGTCAAAATAATAGCATACATATTCAGGGTAATCATTAGCTAATGATTATGAAACAAATAGGTAACAAATAGTATAGCAATTTGACATGCAAATGAGATAATCATTCAGGGTAATCATTAGCTAATGATTGTGAATTTAATGAAACACTGATTTCTTTCTTCGTTAATCATTCAGTAATCATTCAGTAATTATTCAGAAACAAATAGTTAATTATTCAGAAGCAAATCAATAATTATTCAGAAACAAATCGGTAATTATTCAGAAAGAAACTGTTAATTATTCAGAAACAAATCGTTAATTATTCAGTAATTATTCAGGTTATCTGACTCATTTTCTTCTTTATCAAGACCCTGTTGCCTCTCCTGGAGCTGTCTTGTATTATTCTGACTAATACATGCTCATATAGAGGTGACATATACTCCAAATTAATTTATATTTATCTGCTCAGAAACCTAGGGCTAAAATGAGTGTTTGTGCCTAATCATGTATGGGGAACAACCCAAAATTGATCAAATTCAAAAAAAATATCTTGAATTCAAATTCATTAGAATAGTAGAGATAAATATGAATAAGTTTCAATCTAAACATGTTCTACATACCTTTATGATTATGTTGATCAAGTTTCAAGATAGTCTAGCCACCCTTCAGGTTGTTTATGCTCACTTTTATTAGACAAATAATTCTCTCACATCTTAACCAAATTTTAACGTCTGCCAATGTGGGGTTTCTCATTCTAAATCATGGACTTTTAGGTAATCATTCAGAAACAAATCGTTAATCACTCAGTAACAATTCGGAATAAAAAATTCCAAGTTAATCATTCAGAAACAAATCTTTAATTATTCAGTAACTTTTCAGATTATTAATCATTCAGAAACAATTCAATTAATTATTCAGAAACTAATCAGACGTTGCTTTTAAATTCTTCAGGTTTTCTGATTAATTCCTGAAGGATTCAATAATCATTAGCTAATGATTATGAAATGATTTTTGTGTGGGTCAGGTGCAATGAAGCAAATAAAGGAATGTGGATAATGATGAGTTGCTTCTTGATTTATGGTATATTGAAAAACACTGTCTAGTCCATTACTTTCTGATGTGAAATGTATGTTTCATAACCAACGATAGAAATAAAGCAATGTAAGTGATCAGAAGTGGCTCTGTGTATGACCTCAGCTCGGATCAATGGTGCTAATCTTATTTGATTTTTGTCACCAGCTTTTTGTCCTTTACGTAACATCATATTGTTTCCCTTTGCTCACTTCGAATATGGTTATAAAGAATATTTTTACTCACGTTTCAAATGTATCCTCAAACTTGTCATCATCATCGTCACTCGATAATTGGCGGACAACTTTCGGCTTTGGTGGACTTGATAGTAAAAATGCTTCATGGTTAGATGTTGATCCAGGACTTCGCATAGGTGTTGCAGGTAGAGATCCAACCATTGATCCACATATGGAAATATGTTCTTGTAGCTCGCTTAGTTGTACCTGAAGCCGATTGACACTTTCTGTGAGCTCACTCAGTTGACGTGAGACATTCCGCGATAACTTGTAATAAATGACGGTGATACTGGTTCCAACAACTAGTCCAGCTCCAACAGCAGCAAGTATGGGAACATGGTCTCGAAAATGTGGCATTTTGAACAGCTAAAACATTAGAACTGTGTAAAAGAACCTTCGGTCGGTCCGAAATACTATTTGCTGGAAATACAAAAGCTGGGTCTCGTTAGATTTTTAGAGGCTCTTTATTTTTTCACTTTTTTCCAATAAAAAAATGATGATTTAACAGAATATATACTTTCAAACAAAGCAATATTTGGTATATAATAAATATTTTAACATAAAGCCTGAAAGAATGAATGAATAACTGTTAAAAAGAACATGTTCCGGCAAAAGGTCATTATTCTAACCAGTGTAAACTTTTTTCCTTTTTAAAAACATATAAATAATAATTTTTTATATGTTTTCTCTTTTATCATGCCATTTGTATTTGTTAGTACTCAAATAAGATTGGTAAGTCAAATTTATGTCTTTAAGTAATACTATTTCTGAAAATTAACTTCCAGAGTAGGAGGGATGTGCTATCATATTGCTCTGATTTAAAACGTAACATATTGTGGCGAATTTTGTTTCCTCAGTGATTCTATTTTGTATAAACTATGTCAATTGAAGATGTATTATTTTATTTGTTGATTTTATGTATGACCAGTTTTGCCATTTTTTATATGTTGAGTCAGTCGACTCTTTCAGAGAGTTTGATGGCTCAAATGTGTACATGCAGAATGTCACGTAGGCACTGGGATGTTTACTGATCAGCAGACTGAAGTGGAATAAATTAGAATAATTAAGTACCCAGCAACCGGTGATCAGCCAATCAGATTCTTTTATTTGAATTTCCCTCCAACTTAAGTTGTAGTTTTCCCATGATGCAACTTGAGGTGTCTGGATTTTATTGTTTGCAATTAACCACGTGAATCAGAGTAAACCAAGAACTTGAAGATACAAGACCTCGTCAGTTTGGATCTATTTATGTGCAAGCGTGTTTTATTTAATCTGTGGACTTATTGGAGCATTATTTTGGATATATTGGATTAGTTGCAGTAATTGTTAGATGCAGATTGTATTTGGTGCGACTATTGAAGAAATTACAAGACAACAGCCAGTGTTTTTGGTGAGTTAGCCATTTTCTTGATTGAGGTTGGCATAAAATGGGTAATTAGCTGTCCGCCATCTTGCTTTCTTGTTCCCACAATTCCCGGCGGTCGGCCATCTTTGATTTTGAAGGAAGTGACGTCATTTTGAGAAGTTTTGAGCTCCAGATTCTCTGAGTAGATTTGGCTCTGTCTAATCTCATTTCTTTGATCGATATTCGTGAGTCATTCTGCTCTGAGTATTGGTGGCTCCTAGTCATTACCCCTCCAAGCTATAAATGCTCCTACTTTGTCGAGGCGATCTGACTCTCACCCAGGGTTGTATGTTGAGGAAGGTTTACTCTCATCGGAGCCAAGGTTACATTACCGGAACTGAGGTGCTCCAAGGCGAGAGATAACAGCTCTGTCTAATCTCATTCTTTGATCGACATTCTAGAGTTGTTATTCTCTACAGAGGTTGTAGTGAGGTTGCTCCTGCGAAGCGGTGACTCCGAGAGCAGAGGTTACTCTTTGGAGACAGTATAGCTCATTGAGTGAGAGCACTCTTTGGGTAGAGGTTACTCCTGAGACGAGGCGATTCCCGGGGCTGAGGTACTAGCAGTGTGTGGATCTCGTTCAAGAGCAGAGGTTACTCTTGAGACGAGGCGATTCCCGGAGCTGAGGTACTCCCAGTGTGTGGATCTCGTTGGAGAGCAGAGGTTTCTCCTGAGAAGTGACGACTCCAAGAGCAGAGGATACTCCCGGAGCCTGGACCCCTTCCAAGAGACAGTGTAGCTCAAGAGTGAATTGAGCAGAGGTTGTAGAGAAGTACATCCTGAGAAGTGGTGACTCCAAGAGCAGAGGTTACTCTCGGAGCCTGGACTCCTTCCAAGAGACAGTGTAGCTCATAGAGTGAAAGCACTCTTTTGAGGAGAGTTTAAAGTGGTTACTCCAGTGACAAGGCGACTCCCGAAGCAGAGGTTACTTCCGGAGCCAGGGCTCCTTCCCAAAGACGAGATAGCTCAAGAGGGAGAGCTCTTTTCAAGCAGCGCAGAGCGGAGTAGACAAGCAGAGTATTGCAGAGAGCAGAGCATAGCAGAGAGCAGAGCCGAGTATATCAGAGTATAGCAGAGCAGAGACAAGCAGAGTAGAGAGCAGAGTATTGCAGATTAGAGTAGAGACAGATAACTCAGAGCCAGAGTGTTTTGGACCCTTGTATATATATAGAGACATTTGCATTTGAGTTATTGGCCATAAAGGCTTTATTAAAGGACACTTTGAAATTTATTGTGATTATTGTGTTGAATAGATTGTTAAAAATCCTGTAATTGATTGTTTTGTATATTCCTGTGTTCTCCATCTCCTAGCTCAGTGACAGCCGAAGCACCAAACAAGCTCGGCGCCCGGGAGAAACACCTCCGAATCCCTTATCATCGCCACCAGACCTTCTCCGAGGGAGTACAGGTACTCGGCGGGAGTCTGGCGCGCGACATTGGTGGCAGCGGTGGGATTTTTCACTGTTCCTAGAGATGGAGAGAAGCATGGAGATGTCAGAGGCAGGGAGAAGTCCAAGAACTTCTGACCACGGCGGCTCAATTGATGATACAATGGGTATCCCAAAGGGGAGGACACTCAGGAGGACACCGGAGCCAGACGACACAGTGGTTTTTAAAGGTGGCCCCAGAAACCTGGAGCTGGAGACCCAAGACACTCTTCCGTTGGAGTCAAGGGACTCGGGTCTGAATCCAGAGAAGTATGGTGCCATGGGTGGTACAGAGAGATATTTGCATGTACCTGAACAGAGACCAGGGCAGAGAGTGGCCCAAGACAGTACTGGGTATTGGTCAGAGTCAAGGATGCAGTCCAGGATGCAGAGTGAGTTCACTCCCTCCAAGTTTCGTACTCCTGGAGTACTAGGCAGACAGGACCAGCCCTTCCCTGTTACCTCCACAGAGATCAAAAGTGATCATGGAATGGCCAAGAAGCCCACATCAAGTGAAGATGCTCAAAAGAGGACCAAACGTGAACTCTCAAAGATGGGACAAGATATGGAGTCCCTGAGGCAGGATGTCATGGGTATTAAAGGTGGTCTGGGTCAGAGCCTCCAAGGCCAAGAAGAGATGAAGCTCGAAATGAGACAATTACATGAAACGCTGGTGAACTTAGTACCTTCAATTGCTTCCTCTCGATGCTCAACTCCACGTAGAAGGTCGAGTAAGAGCCAGGCAGACTTGAGGGAGAAAGAGACAGAGGCAGATATGTTGAGTGAAGGTGTACCTGAGAAACGGCTGCAAGAGACTTCAAGGAAGTTGAGTTTGATTACTCGTGAAGATAATCCTCAATTATCTACAGGGAGATGGCAGGAGCAGTTGCCTATGCCTGCAACCAGGAGAAGTCCACCTCGCCTACAAGAACCAATACAGTCATGGAGAGAGGAAAGGCCTCCTCCCCCTAGACCAGAGATGCCAGAGAGGGAAATATGGCAGCGTATCCCAGGGACACATGCTGATGAACCAAGGAGTAGAATTTCCTTTCCAGAGATTAAGACTCCAGAGAGGTCGAAGGTGCCAGAGACTGCTAAGTGGGTAGAGCATCTACAGCAGCCCTCCCAGTGTCCCATGCCTGTTGATGATCAAGAGATGGAAGCGAGAGTCTCTAAGAGTTGTCCTGTTCCTGGATTCCATGAGGCCCCTGTGGAGATGTTCCCGGTGTCCAAACCTTGGAGTTTAAGGAGACAGGATCGAGTGTTTATACCTGCAGAGAGACCAGATCCAACTATCCCTGACCAGGATACCACTGAAGAAGTGCCTGGTAAAGTAGCTGAGAAGTCTGGAGACTCTGCAGCAGAAGAGACAAATAGAGCTCTACTTATTGCAGAACAAGCAATGAAGATGTGTGAGAAGGCGCTTAGCACATCCAATACTGAGAAGAAGACCAAGATCAAGCCAACCCAGTTATTTGATGGGAAAACTCCATGGCTTGATTACAAGGTGTATTTCCAGAACTGCATTGACAGTAATGGCTGGAGTGATGAGGAGAAGCGGCAACAGTTGACGAACCAGTTGAGAGGAGATGCCCAGCAGTTAGTGCAAGAGCTGGAGCAAGGCCACTCCTACGATGAGCTGATTGAGGCACTAACTAAAAGATTCGGACCAGGGGAAAAGGCTTCAATGTATGAAGCTGAACTAAACACCAGGACGAGGAAGCCAAAGGAGTCATTGCAGAGTCTAGGTCAGAGCATAAGGAGACTAGCTGCTCTTGCGTATCCCCAAATGCCTCGCTTTTGCCAGGACACATTGGCCAGGAAATGTTTTGAGAATGCGATAACAGATGATGAGGTGCGAGCAGCTGTCCATCGAAGAAAAACCAAGTCTCTCGACCAGGCCATAGAAGAGGCTCAGACGGAGGAGGCCTATTTGGAGTCAGAGCGTATCCGGAAAGGCCTAAAGCCAAAACAGCGGGATCACCAAATTGCAGCTGTTGCCAATGACTCCCAAGAAGAAAAATTCATTAAGATGATGAAAGAGTACCAGGAGGGAATGACTAAAGAGTTAAGGGAGTTCAAGGAGGGAATAAAGGAGATTGTTGACGCAGTTAAGACCTCTAAAGAGAAGAGGACACCCTTCATTTGTAGGAAGTGTGGAGAAGAAGGGCATACAGTGAAGAGATGTCCCTTGATTATCTGCTTCAATTGCTCCGAGGCAGGACACTTAGCATATGAGTGTACAAGACCTCAGCGAGTCAGGAAAGCTCCTGTAGCTGCATCAAGTGGGAACAGTAATGTGATTGGTGTCTCCTCAGTCCAGATGGTGAATGAACATGGACAGGAGAAGACTGATTCCCAGAGTAAGAAGATCCTTGCGCATGTCCGAATTAAGAATAGTCCTATGCTCTTTGTGGTGGATTCTGGCTCATGCTGTACATTGATGTCATTGCATTCCTTCAACCGCATCCCATATCGGAGACGTCCAACTCTTAAACCTTCTAGGCCAGTTCTTTCACAAGCAGATGGCTCTAGGTTGGAGGTGTATGGGACAATCACTTGTGAAGCAGATGTAAATGGGAGACGGATGCCTTTAGAAGTTATAGTAGCAGATATAACTCATGATGGAATATTGGGTTCAGAGTTCCTCACTGCAAGCAAGGCAGTCATTGATTATGGCCGACTGGTAATCCAGTTTCCTGTGGAGCA